GACCTATTTAAAGTTATTCTTTCTGACCCTAATTAATTCTGATGTTTTATTATTCTTATTATTCAAACACAGTCTTGTAGGGAAAATCATAAGATAGCTTCATATGCAAAAAGAGCTTATCATGAACCACCTGTATGCATCTTCTTACTGAGTGATATTGAACTCATGAAATAAGATCATTTTTCCATGTTAGCTCACGTGATATAAATATTTGACTGGATAGTTCCTCTACATTTTTCACTGATATTGGTTATTTTTTTCTTAAGTAATCGAATTATTTTCAAGACATCGATTTGCTCAAGCGGGCCCAGTAACATTGTGAGACTTGTTACGTGTTTGGCATATAGAATACGTCACAGGTAGCTTGCCAGGTTTTGCCGTGCAGGCGAGATGCTCTAGGTAGCTTGCCAGGCTCTCCAAGAGAGGCAGAGGAATCCAACTCGGGTTGGCCATGTTGGCTGCATGCAAGGCAAACGACCTACCCACTGTGCTATCGCTCCAGCCCTTTCAAGACATATGAAGAAAAATTTATTTTCCAAAGGAGCAAGAGTAAAGCATTCTTTATAGGTGGGTTACGTAGAAGATATGATTAATCATTTTTAGGAATATGGTTTTATTATATATTAATTTTTATGTAAAGTTATGCCTAGGGTATAAAATTAAAGAATAGAGAGGTTTTCTTACTTTTAATTTCTTTCCAAGTGTATGAGAAAGGCATTCAATTACACAATGTATTTTTCACTGTCACTGTCCTCCCATTGTTCATCGATTTGCTCGAGGGGGCCCAGTAATGTCTCCATTGTGACACTTGTTACTGTGGCATATCGATTACATCACGAGTAGCTTGCCAGGCTTTGCTGTGTGGGTGAGATAGTCTCGGTAACTTGCCAGGCTCTCCGAGAAGGGCGGAAGAATCGAACTTGAGTCGCCGGGTTGGCCATGTGCAAGGCAAATGCCATACTCGCGTGCTATCGCTCCAGCCAAAAAAAAATGTATTTTTACTGTAACAAATATATACAAATATAATATAAGCAATCACCCTGCTTCAGCAATTACTATTAGTGATGGAATTTTCCTTAAATGTATTTTTCCTAAAAATTTTCGATTTTTCATCTATGATCTAAATAAGCCATCCTTCCATATGAACATCTCATATTTATTAGATAATATTGAAAAATCTTGAGCAAATTATTTTGCTTTGAGGACCTCAGACATGTACAAGATATATTAATAATTTTTCCATATATGGATGATTGCTTTATTAGAGGGTCATAATAGTGTTTTTAGAAAATAAAATGTTGGGCTAGAGCGATAGTACAGCAGGGAAGGTGCTTGCCTTGCATACTGCCCACAGAGTTTGATCCACAGCATCCCATCTCCCACCCCCCATCACCCACTTTCACCCCTGCCTCTACCCAGTCCACCAGGAGTGATTCCTGAGGCAAGAGCCTGGAATAAATCTCCAATGTCTTCAGGTGTGGCCCCCAGAACAAAAAAATGAAATGCTACTGACTCAATTTTAATGGAAAGTATAGGGTACAAGCTTCGTTGAAAAGCCAGTTTGTAAAATTTATTTGCTTTAATACGTGGGCACTGTGTGATGATGTGAAATGTATTTAAAAATTGATTGTAGACCAGAAAAAGTTAATCCCCCCTTAGAAATCATAAATACTTCTAAATCTAAAATGAAAGCATTCCTACTTTCAGTTGAACTTTTCTAAAATTCCCTCTTTAACATACTGTTAAGTGGTTTATTGCCTGCTAAACAATAGTAGATAAATAGTAGGTAAATAGTAGGGACATTTGTTTGAAGTGTCTAGAAAATAATTCAACTAGAAAATATTTACCCCCTCAATTAGTTATAATCATTAAGGCAAATTGTACATCTTTAAAAGATTTTGGGCTTTCACACCTTAATTCAGCAACAAAAATTAGTGCAATTTTTATTTGTATACATAGACTTGCAAAAATACATACATCACATAATGTGGGAAAGTACTGGGAGACAAAATTGGCATGCTCCTACAGTCATTAGATTTCTGTTTAGGAGAGCATCAGACATAAAAATTAATCTTAAATGAAAAATATTCATTCCATAACCAAAGGTTAGATTATATGTATTCTACTATGAAATATCATCCTAATAATCACCAATACAAACTTCCAGTTTTTTAGTACCTAATTCATTTACCCATAATGAAACAAATGTTTATTATGTAACAGGTGCTTTTCTGGATTGTATATTTCAGGGTTCAAATGACAGTTTTTATTCTCCAGGAGCCTAGGAAATCTAGGAACCTACATATCAGGTTAGAGAGGGAGGGCAGAGGGGTTACAGAGCAGAGGGGGTCCAACAGATGGTGATGGAAAGGTTTCCACACTTTGTGGTGGCATAGGTCTTACAATTTGCTTTCGAAGAGGTGTGAAAAGCATTTCTGAAACAAAAACATGGAGCCTTATTGAGTTACGCTGTATATACCAGGATAAAGTTTTCAGCTCATTTTTTAAATTAATTATATTTTATTTTAATATCATTTTATTTTGGCGGGGGAGGCACCTAAGAGCTCTTAGTCAATGGACTTTGCTTATGTTTGTTTTAATTTTTAAGATCAGAGCTGCCATATAGAGAATAGATTTTACACAGCGGGAATTAATCAGCAATGCTATAGTCATAGTCATTCAGGCAAGAGATGGGGGTGATGTGGCTTAGGTAGTAGCAGTGGGGATGAAAATAGTAAGCTGTGGGTAATGTTTTGGAAATACAAAATTTGCAGATAGATTCTCTATAAAGGTCGACAAAAAACAGATTCAAGGATTTTTTTTCTAAAAGTTTAGTTTTTGGAAAGGGATGGCTGGGTCTCATCAACCGCTTGTGTGTATGGGCAAATTAGTCATCGTGGGGACCAGAATCCGGAGCTCATTTGAGATGTGTTAATTTAGAAATGCATACTAACCATCGACCTGAATGTCCAGAAAGCAAAACTGGGCTTCAGAGAAGTGAAAACCATTAGATTTATGAATTTGGTAGCCTTCAGCATGTAAATAGCATTCAGAGACATAGAGAATGCCATTCAGTATTATTCTACATTTGGTAACACTCAAGGTAGTTATCGCTCCGCCCCTCTCAGAGAGCCCGGCAATCTACTGAGAGTATCTCGCCCACATGGCAGAGCCTGGCAAGCTACCGTGATGTATTCGATATGCCAAATACAGTAACAACAAAGTCTCCAATGGAGACGTTACTGGGCCTGCTCGAGCAAGGTAGTTATGGAGCTTTTTTGTAAAGTGCTCTGGAGTCAGCACAGCGGGTAGGGCGTTCGCCTTACACGCGGCCAACATGGCCGACCCGAGTTCGATTCCTCCGCCCCTCTCGGAGAGCCCGGCAAGCTACCGAGAGTATTCGATATGCCAGACACAGTAACAACAAAGTCTCCAATGGAGACGTTACTGGGCCCGCTCGAGCAAATCGACGATCAACGGGAGGGCTCTGGAGTCCCAGGGGTGTTCACACCTGGGGTTCCTATGTGCAATCCAGTCCTTGAAGTCATTTTCCTAGTCCCTAAATTCACTGATCTTTTCTGTCCTTGCATCTTCTTTGTGGCAAGCACCCTTAAGAACTTCCTCTTTCTCCCCATACTTCTTGAAACTACTTATTTTGTGCTGTTTTTCTCCTTTCTTAAATCATCAGTCTTTTGTTCACAGACCCTTAATTATGTGACACAGATATTTTTACCTCCTTTCTCACTTTTCATATTCTCCCTTTACAACCTCAAGTTCTCTTCTAAAACTAAAATTAAATGACGGTTTTTGTTGTTGTTTTGTTTTGCTTTTTGCTCCTACTCCAGACAGTTTAACTTTAAGAGTAGCAAAGGTCTTGAAAACCATCTGGTAGAAAGGGAGCCCCCAAGTTCGGATCAAAGGAGCCCTACACAGGGGCTGTGAAGGTCTCAATCGTAATTCATGATCCCGTTGATTCTTTAATTTTTCTGTTTTTGGGGCCACACATTCAGGGATAACTCTTGCTTCTGCACTCATGCCTGGAATCAAATCTGGGTTGGCCTCATGCAAGGCAAAGGTCCTACCTACTACACTAACGCTCCAACTACTGATTCATTCATTTATGAGCACTTACATGAAGGTTGATTTTACGGAGTTTCAAATCTAGAGAGGCAGGATGAGAATGATAAAGTCCTTACATCCTTGGCGAGCATTAACTAGAGGTTCAGATCTTAGGCGGGAAGACATTTGGATAAACCTGAACGCCTTGGCCACAGAAATATAAAATTTCGCTGTGTCTAAGAGTCTTAAACGTACATTTTGCTTTGTATCGTTTTGGTTTAATATTAAAGAGGAAAAGGAAAGCAAAAACCCTATTATGCAGGGAGAAAGTTGGCAGGGCAAAAGAGATCAGTGCAAAAACATCTCCATGGTCTGTTTAAACACAGGCGTGAAGAGAATCTAAAGTACTGATTAGCGGTGGGAAGAGAATAAGACACCTATATACAGGAAAACGCACAAAATCAGACGTAAAAGAGCGGGCGACAATGAAACATTGATTAAAAAGCCGCGCAACACAAACATCTTTTTTTTTAACTTATATATTAATTTTAATGAATCAACGTGAGATAGTTACAAGCTTTCATGTTTGTGTTACAATCACAGCATGATCAAACACCCATCCGACCAAACATGACAACCTCTCAGTGTCTGTATTGCAAACCATAATGCCCAAAAGTAGAGAGAGTATGGGGAACATTCTCTGCAACCCGAACATCTTCCCCGGCTCTTGACCGGCTCAGCCACCCCAGCTGGCCCCCGGAACAGTCCCGCGCACCAGGCCCCGCCCCTTGCCCAGTCCCCGCCCCACGGCCCCCACCGGCCTGCCGCGTGCACGTGCGCAGCGGGTGGTCCCGCCCCCTCTGCGCTCTCTACCAATGAGGAGAGCCTTCGTAATTCGACTCCGCCCGCCCGCGGGTCACGTGACCGCGACTCCCCGCCCCTCTCCCCCCGCCCATTGCCTGTAGGGTTTGAGAAGATGGCGAAGGTCACGGAACGTTACGATGTCACTTGGGAAGGTAACCGCGGGCCGGGCGGGTGCGGGCAGCGCCGGGCAGCAGCCCCGGGAGTCCCGAGCGGCTCTCGGAGGGCCGGGCTCTCCGGGCTGCCTTCCTCCCCGCAGCTCTCGGCCGCCCGGGCCGCGGCGAGCTGGTGGCGGGGCTGGAGACCCAGGCTGACCCCCCGCTTCCCCGGCCCGGGGTCTCCCGGCGCCCGTGCTCGTCGTGACCCCGAACCCGGCCCTTGTGCGCCCGGCGCTCGCGGGCCGCGTGGATCCCGTCCGCGGCGAGAGGTCCCCGGGCCGGGCGCTGTCACACGTTTTCCCGGGGGCGGCCGGGCAGCGCGGAGGGGGCGGGGCGGGGCGGGCTCGGCGCCTGCGGTCTCCGGGAGACGCGGGGCCTTCGGGGGCCTGTGGGAACGCGAGCGCTGGGCCTGGGTTGTACGGGTCTGTGCCCCAGCGCCAGGGCCCAGAGCTGTGCCTCCACATGCCACGTCAACGTCTCCCTTCTGCAGAGCTCGTCGCCCCCCTTTAACGTTGCTCCCTGCCCCGCTCCACCGCGAAACGGTCTGGCACACGCAGCACACCTGGCTTCTTGCTGCGTACCCGCGCTTCCTCGGCGGCAGGAGGGAGGAACCGCGTTTGGGTCTGTTGCTCGGCCAACTGAAGACGTCACTTCTCGTCCTGCTTTTAGGTGCAGTGGTTTCCCAAACCACACTTTTTTCAGCCTTCTTTTTGAATCCTCTTTAAACCTGCCAGTAGCCAGACCTCAGTCAAGTTCTCTAAGAGTTTTCTCCTCCCATTCCGAAAACTGTAGGTGGGGGTGGGGGTGGGGGTGTGTGAGAGAGGGAGAGAGCGTGCAAAAGCAGCCTGTCAAGTGCTTGTCTTGTACTGACCAATTTGGGTTCGATCCCTGACATTTGGTCCTCCACCACCCTCCAGCACCACCAGGAATGATCCCCGAACACAGAGCCAGGAGTAAGTCCTGAACACAGCCAGTTGTAGCCCAAATCCCTACTCCCAAACCCCCCCCCCCAAAAAAAAAAAACAATAACAACTTTAGTAGGTGGCAGGCTAAAGAAAAATCCTGAAGTTTCTCTAACTCGTGTCGTTTGTGTGATTGAAATGTGTATTCCCAGAGCTGAGCAGTAGACAGAAACATCTGATACTAAAGCAATGGCCTGATTAGATGTGGACCCAAAGTATGGCAAGGTTGCCTGCATGAATGGGAAATGATAAAACTCCTTTTATACTTAAACTAAATCCTGTGATTTATTATTAGTTTTGTGGCCTTTAATTCAAGGACTGGATTTCTGTTGTATTAGAGCATTAGATTGTATTGAAAGGAGGAAATGCTCAGTGCTAGATCTTGCAGAGTAGATTAACATTCAGTCTTCACCTTTGGCATGTTAAGGCTTGTGTACTAGTGTAGTCTTTAAGCTGGGTGGTGGAGAATGCGTCTGTTGCCTTTATGATTTTTAAAGTGCTTTAGATATTTTGTCTGCTGTTTCTGTCCCGTGGCCCCTTAGGCTTTAGCATTTCTCAGCAGCCCCCTCAATGCTTACATGCTGTAGAGAGCCTTCCTTGACCATCCTGTTCTGCATCCTTCCAGATTCTTTTTTTAAAGGAAAGAAATGCAGACATAATAGTCAAAGGATTGTATTCCGGAATCCGGAAGTATGTAGAGAGGTGCACACATGAATTGTTTGGCAAAACTGCAGTGCATATCACTCCCCCCCCCTCCCACCCCCACTCTCTTGCATGTCACCCCCCCCTCCCCACCCCAGCTCACTTCTGGGTGCCAGAGCCCCTGTTGAAGTGCTTGCCCGGGTGTGTGGAGTTAGAACTTTGGCTCTCCACCAGTGAGGGGCTGAGGGGCAGACCCCAGGCCTGTGTGCCCCTCTTGCCTGACATAATGGGAGGAACTCTGTTGCTGAAATGAATTGCTAATTGAAATAATACGATGTATTAACTGTCACAAGAAAAGATTGTGTTGGTATTGTTAGTATCTTAAATAGATAGAGGCCAACTCACTTCACGTATAGTTTGCTTGTGTCACTGAATATTTCTACCTTTCTAGAACTCTGTTTGAGGAACTGTTTAAGAAAGTAGTGGTACAGATTTTTTTCCCCCAGAGGTTTAGAAGATGTAGTAGCAGATTTTCAGAATTGAGTTACCATGGTTTACGATAGTATTGATATTTAATGCTACTCTCCCTACCATGCCTCCAACCAGAGCTGGCCATTCTCCCCCTACTTCCCGGCAATGCTTAGGGGTTTCTTCTGGCTCTACACTAAGGAATAACTGTTGGCAGTGCTTGGAGCACTGTATGGGATACTGGGGATCGGACTTGGGTCAGCTGTGTGCAAGTCAGATGCGCTACCTGCTGTACCATCATTCCCGCCCCACTCCCAGCTCAATTCTTTTGGCAGTATCTCAGTTGCTGTTTCCCTCAGTCATTATTTATTCCCTTGCTTTGTTTCTTTATACTCTACAAATGAAGTAATCTGTTGCTTATCATTTTCTCTGGCTTCTTTCGCTTAGCAGACTATATCCTTTGCCACCCAGGTCAAGCACACTGCAGGATTTCATCTTGAAGCTGAGTAGTATTTCACAATGTACATATACCACAGGCTGGAGTGATAGCACAGTGGTAGGGCGTTTGCTTTGCACGCGGCCAACATGGCCGACCTGAGTTCGATTCCTCCGCCCCTCTCGGAGAGCCCGTCAAGCTACCGAGAGTATCTTGCCCTCACAGCAAAGCCTGGCAAGCTACCCGTGACGTATTCGATATGCCAAACACAGTAACAATTGTCACAATGGAGACATTACTGGGCCCGCTCGAGCAAATCGATGAACCGCGGGAGGACAGTGACAGTGACATATACCACATTTCTTTTTATCTCATCTGTTGTTGGCCACTTGCATTATTTCCAGATCTTGGCTATTACCAATAGAGCTGCTGTGTGAATGGGTATTTGTGTATCTTTATGAATCAGTGTTTTTGCTTTGTGGGGATAGATGACAGGGGAATCCCTGGGTCTTTGGAACGATGGGTGTTGAACCCAGGTAGGCCCTGTGCAAGGCAAGTGCGGGGTAGTACCTGTAGTACTACCATGTGGCCCCCTAATTTTAATTTTTTGAGACACCCCCATACTATTTTCTGTAGAGGTTGAACCAGACCAACAGTCCTGCAAGACAGTGAAGAAGGGTGGGAACAAATTTATTTATTTATTATTTATTTTTAGTTTTTTTTTGCCACCACTGGCAATGCTCAACGGTTATTTCTGTCTCTACATTTAGGAATTACTCCTGACACTACTCAGGGTATCATATGGGATGCTGGGGATCTAACCCTGCTCGGCCACATGCAGATCAAGTGCTGTACTATCTCTGACCCTGTATTTATTTTTGATTTGGGCCACATCCAGTAGTTCTCAGGGTTACTCCTGGCTCTGCACTGAGGAATCACTTCTGGAGGGCTCAGGGGACCTTATGGGATGCCGGGGATCTTACCTGGGTGGGCCATGTGCAAGGCCAGCACCCTACCTACTGTACTATTGCTCTCGTTGTTGACATCAGGCATTCAATGTTTCATAACCAATCCCACCCACTACTGTCAACTTCCTGCCATCACTGGAAACAGATATTTAAGGAAGATGATTAGAGATTTTTGTGGGGGAGAGAGTTTTGGGATATTTGGTTAGACCTTTGTCTTTAAGAATTCCAATTACATCATGAATTAAAGTTATAGAAATTGAAGATGATTATAATCTTTTCTGGAAGGAAGAATAGAGATCCCTAAACCGGATAGAGTGCCAGGTGTAAGGCACTTGTCTTGTATGTGGCTGACTGTGTCAGTCCCCAGCACCATCGGAACTGATTCATGATCACAGAGCTAGGGAAGCCCTGCGCGTGGCAGGGTGTGGCCCCCAAAGCAAAGAGTTGTGGGTATTGGTTGCACAACAATGTACATAGAGGTCATACATTGTTAAGAAGGTAAATAAATATGTGTCATTGGCTTATTTAACAGAAATACAGATTTGGGCCAGAGAGGCAGTCCAGGGAATAGGCACATTCCTTTCATGCAGCTGACCTCAGTTTTGTCCCTGGCACTGCAGTAGTCCCTGGGCACTCCAGGGTAAGGTCCCCAAAGCAAAGATGGAAAGAGAGAGACTTTTGTGAGCTATTTTGAGACTTGTGAGACTCTGTTGAGCTTCGTGTAAGTGATATAGTTACTTGTCCAGTTGAACGTTAATAGTTTTCACTTGAGAAATTAGTAGGAGTAGGGAATGGGAAAATGTTCTAAGAAAGATACAGTCATGTTTCCTGAGAAAGGATATTTCAGCAGGATATAGATAGGATAGCAAGTACAGTGTCTAAGATTTAATAGGCACTAAATGGACATTTATTGAAATAACTATTTGAGCCAGTTATTATTGTTTATATTCACAATTTACTTCATTTTAACTTAGAATATCAATCACAGTTTGCTTAATTTCTTGATAACATTCTTCAAGTCCTTTTTTTTTTTTTTTGCTTTTTAGACTTTCCTTTTAGCTTTTAGTGAGTTCTCGTAATTCATTTGCGTCTTAACTTTTGTTGTCCATATAGTTCTTAGCTCTCTTATTATTGGTAGTTCTTAGTAACTAATGCAGGCATTAAATTAAATGGTCTGTGAATTCTCTAAAGTTGTGAAAAATGAATATAAATATACACATATTTTTGGGAAAAGGTCTTATTAATTTTCAGAGATCAGAAAACAAAAGTTTAGCATTTTCTACAGGTAGTCTTATCCACACCTAGCTTTAGCTGTTAGTCTGTATGCTGAACAGCTTGTTAATTGAAAAATGTATTTTGAGTGTTTTGCATCAGGTGCTATTTCAGTTCTTGAGGCTGCAGTGCTGAACATTGTTGAACAGGGTTGATCCTGGATCTTATGGAACATACCCCTATTTTCACTTTTCAACTAAAGATTAGGATATGGATGTGTGTTTTCTGAGAGCCATTTTACCCGGTAAC